CATGAAAGCACACACTCATCAGTATCCATGAACGGAGCTCACTATAGCAGTGTGCAGTTACAGACACCCCAGCTGAAAGCGGTTCATTCCTCCTTCTAGATCACAGCAAGGTAGTGCATGAACCACAGTTCAGATCCATCAACTGAAAAGAACAAACGTCTTTTTGTGGAAGTAATCCAAAATGCAACAGTGATAAGCACTTTCTATCACTGTTTTGTTTAGATCCCCCAGCTGCTAACTCTTTTGAGCACGCCTCGCACTTCGTTTCCATGGCCCAGCTGTACATCAGATCTGGAGAGCTTCAAACTTCATTTTAAGCTTATAATGAAAATGAACTGCATTTACATAGCACTATCAGAATGCAAATTTTGTGCCGAACAAAATCATTACATCTCAGCAGATCTATTGATGCCATGGTATGGTTCAAAAAGCCTCAAATCCTCTCTCTTCAGTATTATCTTTAAAATAAGGGTAATTAAACCACAAAAAAGTATGATGTTCAAACAGCAGGAAACACGAAATCCACAAAAACAATTTCAAAGTTTAGATTTAAGCACCATCCAGAAGCCAGCAAATTAGGACTAGCTGACCTCAAGGCACTCACACTCGGGCAATCCTTCATACGAACTAACAAGTCAACACCTCTTACGGGCGCTAAACTGTGGTCAACATTCAAGCTTACAGCTATTACCTTTCGTGCCTACTAAAGCAGATTAACCATTAAGGTAAAGATTTAACTCCTCATTTCTTTTCCAAAAAAGGAAAACAAAAAAAAGGCACACATGCTCCCCCCACCCTACTTCTTTACAAATAAAGTATTTACAATACTAGAAAAGAACAAACAGTTTAACAATTGCTTAGTACCTAACACTACTATTGCCAGTTGCAGCATAATTCAACTAACAAACTTGATTAAATATCAGGTTTACTCCTGGCCACTTAAACAGTTTCTATCACACCACCACGTTGTTTAAAAGCAAACAAAGAAACTTGGTCATTCCAATCCATACAAACATATATTTTGACAAAAACAAAGAGGGAAAAAGTGACTATAATGATGTCACTTCTCACAAAAATACTACAGTAAACTGTATCAATGTGTGTGTTAGGAAATGGTGTATAAGTTTCTAGGTTGATAAATTAATTTATACATAAAAGATCCTAGAAAGTCCCACTGAATTTAAGCATCAACCGTACCAAATATACAAATAACACTCCAATAAGCCTGCAATTGTAAGACAAAAACAAAATGTAAGAGAAATAAATTTTATTTGGCATTATCCTATTATATAAGCATTTTATCTTACAGTTGTTTCAACGTCATTCATCTAAGTATTGAAAAAAACCACATGACATGATGTATGAAATCATAACTTTTTCTCCAAAGAAATTTAAGTCTCCTTTGGCTTACACTAAAGGATTTCAGAAAAACACTGCAAAACAGCTTCATGAAATTTATAGACAAGCATCCCATTGTGCCTTTGACAGACTGACAGAACTCCAAACAAAATGGAAATTTGGTCAAGTTCAATCTCAAGTTTGTCCCTGAGTCTGACAGAGTATACCTCTTTATAAAAAAAGGAGTTAACAGCTTTCACATTAAGGATCACACAGATAAATAAGAAACCAGGAGACAGCTTCATAGATCTATACTTCTTCTCCCTCCTTGCAGTTTCCTGCCACATAAAATATATTAAAAAAACCAACAACACAAAACCGAGCCAACCGTCATTGAACTGCTTACAGATCAAGTTTAAAAGAGGAATGTATCCTTAATTTGCAAATGAGCAATGATTAAGCCACCTTAAACGTCTTCCTGATTCATATGAAATTGCATTTTCACTTGTTGAGATGCAAGAGATATTTATAACCCTTTCCAATACGAAATCAAACTAATTAGTTTAAAAACTAACTTCTCTTTAAATGCATACACAGCATTTATATTAAAAAAGATTTGTGAGATTAGACAGCCCACTATTTGAACAGCGAGGTCTCACATCATTTATGACAATACTAGCAGCAGAAGTGGTATCACTGTACAGCTGGCATCATAAGACTAGACAAGACAGCATGACTTCAAGCTCATTTTGTACAAAATGTTCTTCAGCCTCGAAAGCACTTCAAGTGCAGGGCTATACAAAATTCCTCATTCCAGGAATTAGTTAAAATTCACTGTACAGATCGAGAGATTCCCACAGTAAGGTCCCAAAGTCATACAGAAAAAGACAGACCCTAAAAAGAGTCTGTAAGCTCAACTGTCTTGTTTTTTTTTCAATTATGAGCAAGTAAAAGAAAAACAACTGTATGCATTGACAGTTTATAACAAAGAAGTTTCAACCCTCTGCAATATAGGGAGCTGTACTTCCTAACAAACTCCATACCTGACAGAAACAAGAAAAAAAAGCTGCAAGACAATTCAGAAGAGAAAAATTTAAAAGGCAAAGAACTACCAAATTCACTTAACAGGACAGAATAATGTAAAGTTTGTTTTATTTTGATAGGTTTCATAACAACTTCAGAAGAATCAGCAAGTCTATTTCTACTACCTTCCAGCCAGGCAATGGAGACACCACCATTAGCTGAGGAAGTGCACCCTTCTCTTCCACTGTTACATTTCGGCTTCTCTGTGATAATTTTTCAATCACCAAATTCTCATATAAAGTATCTCTGGTGATATCCTCCAAGCGAGAATTACAAGAGTTTAGAAAAAGTGTCTAACAGTACCAAACTGAAGACACTGATAGCAGAAAGCATTTCACTCTGTGAGCTATGGTTACCAGGATGAACTCCACAATGCCATTACAGTGATTTTTAAGCAGTCTGAGGATCTGAGGAATTGCTACATAATTAAACTAAAAGCTTTCAACTGCACATGTCTGAGCACACATTTTTCATCGCTTGACATTTTTTGGTCCATCCAAACACTGCAAAGGGAACACTGATGATTACACACCTGCCACTTGTATATTCTGAAACTGCCAAATTAGACTAGCAATAAACACACCATTAGTGAACCTAAAACAGCAGCCTAACATCTGATTTTACAACTTCTGAATCTCCAAATTTTCAACAATTAAAAAAAAAAAAATCAATACAAAGGTTAAGATTGAACAAGTAAAGGAACAAGACATGAGGAAAACCGGTTGTAACAAAATGAAGCATTTTCTATCCAATAATGAAAGTTTCAATGTGCATAAATCCTTGAAAGAAATCTTATTAAATATATTTAACCTTCAATTTCACAGACAAAACCAAAAAACGTTGGAGGAGTGAAAGTAAGAAATTTTATGATTAGCCTTCTGGAACTTCAGCATCAGTGTGATTGTACTTAACACCTTCTGTAAAACACTGCTTAAAACCTCTTTTTTCTTTTAGCTAAGGCTTCAGAGTATTTTTGACAAGTTAATCAATACCCTCATAAATGAATGATACGCTGAATGAAATAACCTTAAATAGCATGGACACATGCTGTGTATTCCATTAATTTACTTGTAAATGTCAGAACTATCTGTTCACCGCTTTATACTTCAAAACACTGACAGCTCAATCTCTCTGCACTGCATTATGTTCTACTTCAGTAACAGTTATACTGCTATTGGTCCGTGCTCTAGTGTTTTCTTAAGCTGGTTTTTTTGTGGGTTTTTTTGTCAGACTATTTATTTTCTAACCAGTTAAGCAGCCCACCGTGCCAAATAAGGGCATTCTTAATTACATCTTAAGATGTAAGCCATATGATGCCTCCATACATGTACTCCCCATCGGTAATAACGGGAGCTCTCTACATTAAGTTCGTCAACCAGGTTATGTCAGAAAGGTGTACCTTAGATCTTCATTCATTACCAAAGAGGCTGTTTGAAGAAAAGCTTAGAAAAGAATGACGCATCCAGACAAAATTACTCAGCCCTCTTTCACTGTACTGACCAGTTTAGAAGACAAAATAATATTCAGTTGGCAGCCTTTTACATTGCCACTCCCATATCAATGCTTCCAATAAACACACGTGGAAATCTTTTTCCATACAGATCTTATGCAAAAAATACAGCCCTTTACTGCAAGCACGTACAAGAACTGTTCTGCACACGAGCATTTCATGTTCCTTTCTTCATATACCGGGAGAGGAACTGGCTTCTGACAAAGTGGATCAGCTTGGTCTCTGTGCAGAACATAGTAATGATGGTTGCTGCGAAGCACAGAGCCCCCATGCTGATGTGCATCAGCCTTGCCATCCAGCCCTTATCACAGCAGAAGAATACCTACAACACAGGAAACAAGCAATTGCAGGAGAACTAGTCAGCACAAAGTAGATATACTGTCTCAATAAAAAAATAAGGTCCAACACCCCTCTTGACCATGCTAACACCACCATCAAACTGCGTGCAGTTTTGCCACGTGCACTGATCCTACAATAAATCATCTTTAGTAGTCACAACACTTGCTTTCTTAAGAAAATTCTGTCAGCAAAAAACGAGCATTCAGTAGATAGCTGGTAAATGTGGAAGTTATTATTATCTGGAATGCAGAAATATGTTAATTGAGATATTAGGAAAACTGTGGCAGTGCTATCACACAAGTCTGCTACTTTGCAACGGCGTATTAGGCTATTTTCTAACAAAACTCCACTGGAAATCTCCCATTCCAAAATACAAAGCTCTCCTTTCTAAGGCATAATGGATTTTCAATCTGTCAAATTTTTGTACATTGAAATGCTACCATCTCCATAACAATCAGTCTGCACAATTACCACTCCCGTAGTCTGAATAAATGTGATAAATGTGCTCTTGTCTAATTTTTGTTTCTGTTCTTGTTTTGGTTGTTTTTCTCTATCACTGTTTATTACAGAATTTTTAACAATAGTTTCTTTGTGCTACTGCAAAATTTCAATTATTATTAAGAACTAAGGACATGGATTTATCCAGACAGCAGAAACGTGTTATATTTTATTTTACTTGTCAGATACACCTACAGACAGCAGAGATAACTTTGTATCAAAGATAAAATCTCTTAATATTGTATCTTGCCTTGCCTGTAATGGCAGTCTTCCAGCCTATCCTCATCAGCCTTTGTTGCTAATGGTATTTCTCTGCTCGCGAACACAAAAGTCATTTGACGCTAACTTTCACAGTGAAAGCAAAGTCTGAGAAAGATACTTACCTCCGAGAAACCAGTGATTACTCCACTCACGATATAAACGAGTACCAAAAATGGTGAGGGAAGCAAGCCTGTCAAAGGTCTGTAAGTGCTTTCTTTGAAGTAATCATAGATATAGTGGATGCTGTGAGCTATTCGAATACCCATGTTAAAGCAGTTGGCAAGGATAAAGCCTATACTGCCATGCCAGTGGGTCAAGAAGTAAGAGATGCACAGAAATGTGAAGGACAAGGCCAGCATAACAAAATTGTACCTAGGAAAAAAAAGAAACAATTCAACAATGTATACAGTTACAGTATTTATTTACCAATGTCCTGGTTTCAGCTGGGATAGAGTTAATTTTCTTCCTAGTAGCTGCTATAATGCTGTGTTTTGGATTTAGGATGAGAATAATGTTGATAACACACTGATGTTTTAGCTGTTGCGAAGCAGTGCTTACACTGGTCAAGGACTTTTCAGCTTCCCATGCTCTGCCGGGTGCACGGGGGGCTGGGAGGGAGCACAGCCAGGACAGCTGACCCAAACTGGCCAAAGGGCCACTCCATACCGTATGATGTCATGCTCAGTATAGAAGCTGGGGGAAGAAGAAGGAAGGGGGGGACGTTCGGCGTGATGGCGTTTGTCTTCCCAAGTAACCATTATGTGTGATGAAGCCCTGCTTTCCTCGGGATGGCTGCACACCTGCCTGCTGATGGGAAGTAGCAAATTAATTCCTTGTTTTGTTTTGCTTGCATGCACGGCTTTTGCTTTACCTATTAAACTGTCTTTATCTCAACCCATGAGTTTTCTCACTTTTAGTCTTCCAGTTCTCTCCCCCATCCCATTGTGGGGGAGTGAGCGAGCGGCTGTGTGGGGCTTGGTTGCTGGCTGGGGTTAAACCACGACAAGTAACTTTATCTTTGAAGAAATACCACAATTTATTTTCTAAAATGAGGAACAGAAATTCTCTTATCTCCTAATGGAAGAAGATAACTTTGAGAACTGAGACGATAATAAAAAAATTCATTGAAAGAATGGAAAATACATCAAACAAAATAAGCCAAGAACTATATTATGTGAAGGAAACTCTGTATACCCATTTCAGAAAGTCAAATTTAGTAGCAATGATTAGTAATATAAAAACTTGTGGATTTTTTGCTATTTTACTTTAGGTATGTGTTAAAGAAAAATAATGCTCAAAACCAAGACGATGCTTTATTTTGTTTCTGCTCCAAACACTGGCTTTGAAAACAAGTTCACACTTCAAAGGGGTCATGAAAGCAGCCCTCCCTAAGTCTAAAAAGGTATTACTTTGACTGTGGAAAGTAGACCTCGTTGAAATTAATCTGGAAAGGCCTTGGAAGGGACAGCTGCTACGTAAGCAAAAAAAAGCTTGATGGTAGCACTGGGAAGGCAACCAGGCTTCAAAGTCAATAACCCAGGATGAACACAGAATCAAGAAATAATATCCAGGCTGGAAGGAATGTCAGGAGGTCATCTAGTCCAACCTCCTACTTAAAGCAGATAAACCACTGAATTCAGACCCACAATTTAGACCATTCAGAACTGTACCTGATATACAGTAACTGTTCTGAAAAATTTTAAGTTGCAAAATTTTCATGAGTTTTAAATGATAGTCTGTCTTAAAAACCTATAACTTCAACTGCATATGTACAGAAAACAAGACTTCACATTTAAATTACTTTCCCAGTTAGCGTAGTACCAAAAGCTAATTTAACTATCTTTACTTCTTAATTTCTGACCTTCTTACCCAAACATTTAAACATTTGCTAAAGCTTCTACATCTAAACCTACATGCAGACAGCTAAATAAGGAATGGGTTTTCAGTGGGGCAGGATATTTTTATGCTGATTTCAAATGCACCAATCTCTTTATAAGGTCATTACAAATAATTTTTTAAGATGATCAATATTTATCAACAAATACAAGCATACAAAAACTAAAAGTAGTGCGTGTTTGCTTGCCCATCTGCTGCACCTGGCTCTGGAGACAAGGAACATGGTTCTTAAAGTGACTGCAGAAAGAAATTCGCTCTTTGGGAAAAAAGCATTTCTAAGCACATATCCATGCAGAACAACTGTTCTGTTTACATACTGAACTCCAAGCAAACCATATGCAGATCAATTACAGGAATATTCTGGGGATGCTATTTCCTACCTGTCCACCTCTTCTTTGCACATCAAAGCAAACGTAAAACATTCTGTTACGCCATTGATAGCAAGAAACAGGACATATAACGAGTAACATCGGAGAAGATCTGGACCTAAAAAACACATTAGAATGAAAAGTAGATAATTATTTCTTTTATAAAACCACATTCTTTTTACACTCTCTGATACTAAGAGATAAAAGTTGTAATGTTATCACTAATAATGGAAACTTAAGTTCATTTGAACAAGTTTCCTTTTCTAGATATTTTGACACGACCACAACTAAACAGGGCAAAATAAAAACAAAAATAAAACCCAAAACACCCAAGAACAGCAGTTACTGTAGTAACAAAAAAGATATCCATCAAAAAAAGTATTTTATTAAAAGGGATTTCCCAATTAAAAATTAATATTTATCATAACCCAAATCTTCTATTCTACAGAAATTTGTGGAAATTAATCCAATAGTTATTATGAGGTACTAAAAGCAATAAAATGTGTATTTTGAACACAACAGTAAGAAAAACAGAAAGGCTGGTCAATACATTCAAAACTATGCTAGATGAAAAATGATATTCAGATTTTTATGGGTCAGAGACAACTTATACATGACTTCAAAATTCTCCACTCAGACCTTAATCTTTTTCTTGTCCTTTAGAAATTATAACACTGGGAAAAAAATCCCATACTTTTTAACAGGTTAGTGTGCATCCATGAATATTCCTTCTTGATGGCAGCAACACATTACTGAGTCTCCTCCTGTTTCAATGCTAAAGGACAACTGCCCAGTGAGCAGTAAATACACTGCAGGTGCGGGGCAGAGCTGAAGACTTTCTTTTCAAGCTTGCTTAAAAACATTAGACTAGAGAGCACTCAGAAAGAAAGAAAAATATCCAAATGAATACGTCCATGAATATTTGGTCAAATAAAGTCAGTACGCATGCTCAACATTTAATTTTCACACATCATCATTAGGTAAAATAAATAAAATTACTTGTGAGTCACTTGACTTGCATCCATATTCCTAAACATAGTCCTTTTCAGTCAAGTAAGCATGTCTAAAAGATTAGGCCCAGACACTCATTCTTGAAGAGAAACAGGGACAGAAAACATTTTCTTCATAAAAAGAGTTGGCTGCCAGGGTCCAGAATGACAATCTTTCATGACATTTGCTTTCAAAATTAGAAACAAATCTGATAGAACCAACAGGAAGACAACTCAAAACAACATGCAAAAGTTATTAACTTTTTCTTGGTTATGCAGACACAGAGTTTTCATTAAAATCACTATACGAATCAAGCACCAGCTTCCAAATAACATGCAAGAGTCTAAAGCAAATAACATGCAAGGGTCTAAGGCAAAACTATCTAAATGCTTAACAATCACGAACAGAAAAGTGCCCATGGGGTTAGAGTATATCAAATGATCTTAACACTGAATAAGATAATTGCAATTCATTTTAATACCCAATAAGCAATATTCCAAGGTTATGGTGTGAAGCTGCAGAACTCTTGACAGGTGCAACTGTCTTCAACACAATATACTGTCACATGCTTTCATCTTCCTTGTAACTTTCTCTTAATTATAATAGATGTGAAATGGAAAATGCAAGCTAGAACTCTCCCACGATGGCATACAGGCAAAATTTCCAGACAGAAATGCAACAAAAAAGCTCCTCTGAGAAACTGCTAGATCTTCACCCAAGACAGATCCGCAAGGAACTGAGACATTACACAGGGCCCAGCTACAGAAGACAGATTGGTTTTTCTAGCAGGAGCTACTGTACGTCAACTGACAAACCACTGGAAGAACCCAAGAAAACTCCAGGCTACAATTTGCATGTTTATGTTTCAAGGAGGAGGAATTAAATGAGCCTCTACTTTCTCTCCTGAAAATCCAAGGTGACCTACAAATTCCTTGACTGCTTCTGTGGACAGATTTGTAAAACTTACCCCTCAATATGTAAAACTACAGCAAGATTGCTACCATTATGTGGCTTAGCACTATTAAAAAAAAGTATTATTGTTTCTATGCTAAAACTATGGATTCTTTGGTTCCAGTTTGTTGTATGGGTTTTTGGGGGGGTTGTTGTTGTTGTTTTAAACAGCTGGAGTTAGCAATTTTACATTATGGAGTAGTCAAACAATCCTTTAAAATATTCTTTTCCAGCAATGTGAAATTGCAGGAAGGTAGAGCCCCAAACCTGATCATACTTATTTGGATACTATTACAAAGGCATGAGTTCTGGATTCAAACTAAGTCACGGATTTCAACAGGAGTTTTACAGAGAAAAAAAAAATTCTGCTGATTTACCCAAGAATTCCTAATAGCTGCGGTTTCTCTTTTTAAAGAAAGGCTTCTTTGCCAGTTCTATAAATCTTTACCTGTTCCGCCACTGAGCATTGAGCCTCCATAAATATCCAGAGCCAGCTGAGAATAGGCATAGCCAAAAACCGTGATGGTAAGGCCAATCAGAAGCACAAGTTTCAACAGCAATTCCAATACATTTGCAGCCATAGCAATATCATCCTGAAAAACATTGTAGTCAACCACATGAATCAGAATCAATAGTTATTTTCATGCAGAAAAGCTACTTCACAGAAAAAAAATTAGTTTGCATGGTGCAAACAGGTGTGAAACTTACCCTTTTTTATTGAATTATCCATACACACAGTCTTAACTTCCAACAATTTTTATATATTTATTATTCCATTCTATGTTTTACACATTACAAATTCTACACAAATATTAGCCATGAACATGTCTGTTCAAGGAAATGGGCAAACAGCACTTGCACCTGTTTAACAGTTAGTAAATGGGAAAGAAGAGCACAGCATCTGCCCAAGGCCACAGTCTGAGTCAGCAGGAGGGTCAGATTTTTATTGCCACACCAGAACAAGAAACTTGTCAGTTTACTACCTCATTACAAGCAGCATTCTTGTAATTCTTGTAACGTAATGTAATTTCAGTACATACAGTGAGAACTCATAACCATTTTGCCAGTTACATACATCAGGTACACTATGTATAAAATATACATACACGTGCATCTTTCTTAGCTCACCAATGACCTGAAGTACGGGATTTGTTTAACTGTGCGCTACAGTGCAAGTAGCAGGATTACTGCAAAAAGTTGTCACAGTATCAGACAAAAGCCCAGGCTGACCTTCATGACTGATGAAGAATTTCTCACCTAGAGCATGCATGAATATTACGAAGCTCTCATTTGTTTAACCATTGATACTTCACTTACAATTCAAGAAAAATACAATTCTTCTCTTCACAAAACTGCACTCTTTGGAAACATTACTGTTTAATACTTAACAGCTACTAATATTTTCAAGTCAGTCAAATATTTTCAGACAGCATTTATTTGATAGAAATAGCATGCTTTCATGATTTAAATAATTGCCTAAGTATATCTGGAAATACACGGTACACTAGGATTTACATCACACTGTTTGGAGCAGATGATGTTAACTTCAGTTATAATACAAGGCAGTATTATGTCACTGAATATCTTAATTTCTATTTCTTTAACATTTTACCTATTTTCTTTTCTTTTTGTTCCAGCCTCACTCGACATTTTTGTTCTCCACTTCAACTTTTTAGTTTTAACAGCCTTTATACTCAAATTTAAACACAAACACACTTCTGTGGTGGAACTTATCTGTAACATAAATCAAGTATTTGACATGTAATTAATGCAAAATAAACATACCTGTTTCTGATCCTTTACATTCTTCCCTCTTTCCAACACTTTAGCAAAAAAGACATAAAAACTCTCCTCAATAGGCAAAAAGATAAACCTGGCCACCAGTGAACCAAGATTATTCACGATATCATATACACCTTAAAAAACAAAACATAGCGGCAACCTGTAATTTTTTTAACACATTTTAATTTCAAGTCTTTAACAATGACATGAATTCTAATTTAACACTTCCACCAAACAAAGAGAAAGCTAGTAGAACTTAGTGCAACATTAAAGCCATGTTCCCTAAAAATTCTGACAGTCACAGCAACCACAGCTCGAAATTACAAGGCTTGCTCATAGATGGCAAAGCTAGGACAAAAGCATCAACTACAGAGGTGTGAACCTCGTAACAGCACCAAACCACATTTAAAATTCTTACTGTAGAGGAATTTAAAAGATCCTGATGAATTTCACTGAATGAGAACAGGAACATAAGGATTTACTGACACAGGAGAAGATACCTATTTATAGTGTGAGGTTCCTCTTTGTTTTTACTTTCACTGAAATGGAAGAGCAATCCTGCATGACATTTTACCAGCACTTCCATCCTCACCAAGATACTGGTCCAAAGCTGCTGAGACATCTCTATACACAGTACAGTCATTGAGAGCATACAAAGTCAGGCATATGGATAAGTGCGTTACATATTCACAGTGAAATAATAGAATAAGGTTCTGGCTGATTTCATAAGACTTGGAACCGATTTTTCTCAACATTTTGAGAATAAAGGCATTTTTGTACTCATTGCTCTTTTAAAGACCTTTCAAGCAAGAGGCAGCTCAATTGTTCTGCAGGGCAGGAGGATCAGAAGCAGCCGCAATTACTGGTAGCAAGCACATACACTCAGTATTTACGGGGGAACATACTTCTGCCAGCAATTAAAAGTAACTCAAACTAGCCAAGAAACTTCTAACAGTGGTTCAACAATCACAGCCTATTTTCCTTCCCCAAGCTATAAAGACCCGAAGTGCTGCCAGCTCAGTCATCTGAACAGCTACTGCCATACATTACTCTGCAACCATGCTGAATTCTTTTACAGAACATGATTCAGCTTTGAGATGCAATGCTATGAACAATGATGTTCTTGCCATAACAGCTAAAACAGATTCAAAAGGAAGACAGGAAACAGCAGGAAAACAGAATTACAAAAACTGAAGACAGACAACTACAACACATAAGATACTAATGACGTTCTCTCTAAAAAAATACCCAGATAGATATATGGTATCACATATCCAATTGGAAAATTTTGATCCAAAGAAACAATAAAATTAAAATCCAGGATCTTAAAATATTTTCTGTATCTATATCAATCATTCTCCGAAATATATCTCAAATTCACAAAGGCTTTGAAATCTTCTCAGATTTTCTCAATACATTAAGTCATTTTCAGAACCATCAGAGCAGTGATTAAGAAAACTGTGCCACCATTCCACAACACCATCACACTTACCCTGATCTCCAAAATTTAATACGTTCAAAAAAGTCATCACATATCGTTCACCTGTAAGTTCAAAATAAAGAACTTAAGAACAAGTCCTTAAATCTTTCCCAATACTTGTTCAGGCACTTCCAACATTAAGTATTCAAGAGACAAAGTCAAACAGGACAGCACCTAGTTCAGAATACCTTCAAAAACTTCATTCAGGCTGGTAACATCTGCTGGAAACGATCTCTGAAAAGTCGCATGCCCGCCCACCCCACCCCCCAGCTTTCTCAAGCTTTAAGTCTATTTTGTAAACAGTATTCACTAGCCCTTCTCCATCACAACTATATGTCAAGCTTCACCTTCTGTCAAAATCTGTTTCAAGAAGGATTGTTTGAAGAAACTCCATGTCAACCGTGCTTCCTTCCAGTTAACAAAGGTCTGCAAAAAAAGAAGTACTGAAATGTAATAAACATGACTGAAACTATGGAGTAGAAATAGAAAATACAAAGCCAGTACAATACTCTAGGCTAGCTCTAACTGTACTGATGAGGAAAACCCACAATGTCATAGCTACTAAACACTCATCTAAAATATTGCTAAATTCAATCACCAACGTCACTCTGATCTGACGATGACTTTTTCCATTACTGAAAATTACTGTTGTTGCAGATAAAGTACCCAAACAAGCTTTCTACAGAAAATACTATTCAAAGTTAGCATGAGGTTTTTTTTCCAGTCTCTGTTTAGCATGCCAATGTAACTTTCACCTTCACTGTAGAAGTAACTTGTTTACTGCTCTTCAAACTGTCCCCACAAGTCTTGCCACCAAGTACCACCTTTATCTTTTCTATCTGCAAATCTTTTTCAAAATGTCTTCTTCCTCACTGTGTCTTTTCATTTCTTTCTTGCCTCATTTTTTTTTGAGAGGACAGAGATATTTGAGTATCTGTAGGATGCTGTGTACCTCTATATTTATATTGTGGAAAAGTCCAAGTACCAAAATCCATGGTAAAATGGTTCTGGTTTCTTTCCTGCCTCAGATCCAATGATACCTGGTCATTCCCCTGCACATATTCTATCTCCAGTTAATGGTTTGTGCAAAGATATTAAAAGGTAAGTCAGCAACAAGTCCATAACAACACAGACGTCAAGTTTCATAACGCTTTTCTGACAAGGATATTATTGATACAAACCACAAACAGAATTTGTATGTAATTTTTTTTTAATCAGTCGTATCTTCTACAGTGTAGAGATATCCTCAAAATCACTCATTTAACTCCACTATCTCAAACTAATTTTCAAAGCTCTCTCAAGAAAACCTTAAAATGAAGAAGTGAACTGTGCAACCTACCTCATCTTCCACCAAGTTAGGCAATAGAGCTGTCATTCTAGCAATTGGAAATGACTTCTTTGTTGCTTCAGGAGACCCCAAAAACATCACAAAATAAATTACATAGCACATTACCAGAACGCTGACATATAAAAGCTAGAAAGACAGGGAAGGAGAGAAGAAAAACAACCGGTGATATAAAATAAACTTACAAATGCAGGATTACATGCTAGAGTTCCAAATTCAGTGAGAAGAAAGTGTAGTAAGTAGTCCTTACCCCTGTCAAATTTTAGACGAGGCAAAGACTTTAACCTCTCAAGAACGCTGTTGATTTTTTTTTTAATCTTTAGGTTATCATAGCTCTTTGCCAACTGTTATGTTCTATTCACCATTATTAGAATGATTATTTAAAGTCCAATTATAAAGCAATTATTCACTCAGTCAAAAAACAAGCTGACGGAGTAGCTACCGTCTACATCTCTTTCTTTGATCAGTTATAAGCTATCTACTACAGCCACTACAAAAACTGAACAAAAAACCAACCAGATGTCCACATCTGAGGTGGATCACATTTTCATTTTTAGGTAAACCGATACTGCACAGGTGATAACCCTATCTTTCAGGTGCCAATATATCCATTCTTCACTGCAGTAAAGAAAGTTTTAATCCGAGTACGTGTTACACATGATTAGCACCTTCTGATAAGGTGATGTAGGTTGGTGGTACAGGCTGATAAAATTACATATGATTATGATCTTCTACACAGTAAAATCCGAAGTCTAACATTAATACTGAAGCCAAGTAGCGAACAGAGTCTTCAAGCATTAGAACGTATAACTGATTAAGAAGAAGAGTTAACATAAAGCTTATACAGAATAACAAACTTATTTGCAAAACGTGCCTTCAACAGACAGAACAAAGTCCTTTCTTGTACATCCATTAAACTGCTCAGGGTCAAAGTGCCAAGTCAATAACGAGTGTCAGGAGAATACTAAATACAAGTGCTAAATCTTAAACCTCCCAGAAGCATTTTCTCTCACCTCCTCCAAGTTATTTAGCAGGGTAAATGTCAAGGCAGCCGCAAATAAAAATTCAGATGAATCAAGAATTTATAGAAAAAGAGAACACAGGAAACTTACCTGAGCCAAGGAAAAAATGTAGAGGCCCCACTGAGGATAAAGGACTACTAAAATAACCGTCAAAATGCATTTTGACACTACTGAAAGGCTTTCAGCAATTACCTATAAGAAAGTGAAAATAGAGAACATTTATTTTCTGCCAACTTAACTACATACACAAACTTAAAATACATTAGTTTCACACACATAATTTATGTAGGAATATAAGACTGATTTCAAAGTCGGTGTGACTTTATCACAGCTTCTTTCTGCCGAGTTGGCCATCTTAGATTGTAATTTCTCTGTAAATTTTCTATTCTTGCATTTCACAATTCAATTTCACTGCACTTTCCCACTCCTTTGTATGGGGCTTAAGGGAGAAAATTTTACTTGGACAGTCATGTTCTCAATTGTTGCATTTCACAATTTCATGCCAACAATCAATCAAAATGCAAAACTGTGGAAGCTGTGTGCCTCTCCCTCTAATTAAAACTCACGATTAAGTATTTAATGACTACTAAGGTGATAATTTCTAAATAAACCAACTTTCTTGCTTTAACAGGTACAAATTCGTATCTATGTTACAATTATGTCATACAGTACTAAACAGAACACACAGGTTGGTTTGGGTTGGCTTTTTTTTTTATACACTTGAATATACAAAAATTAGTTCAGGAATCTGTTCTTTTTCAATAGAAAAAGAAAAAATCCTCCCCACACACACATACACCCCATGTCCTTTACTAACCTTAAGTCTCACAAACAAATGAGCTTGTGCTAAAACCCAGAACGGTTCTCCCAGAAGTTCAATAATTGCAGAAAGACCAAATGCCACTACACCAGCCTGATAATGAGGAACCACAGAAGGATCAGGTACTTCAAGCAAGTGTAGCCAAACTAAGCCCAAGAAAATATACCAAAAAACACCAAGAGGGACCCTAAAAAATTAATATAAAAACAATCAATAGAAATGTTACTTAAGCAGGAAAAAAAAACAGGAAAACTAGGTTAAAATTTCACATCTTGCCATAATAATTAAAAAAAAGAAGCCCTGAGGAATTAATTTCTATTGTTACAATACCAAGAATATTTTTTAATGAACATTTTTAAGGCATTCTTTTGCAAGACATAGGAAACATTTTTCTGACTTGTCTATTTTCTACTTAAGAACCTAACATAAGGTCAACTATCTGCATTTCTTGCTCCCTAGGACTGAACGATTCCGATCCCATATCAGCCTGCAGAACACTGCAAACCCCTCACTGCTGCAATTTTTATATTCTGTGGTTACCAGGGGTTTGGCAGACAAGCTTTGTTGGATCTTGCTGTAACAGATAAAGATGCGATGACTCCAACTGCTAGTCTCACTCTTCCAGAAATCCCTGGTTCTGCAGAGAGCGACAGCAGAGTGAGCAGAAGAAAATGCATGCCTGCACCTCAGGTATGCCAGTTCACATTGCTCCACTCTAGCTCAGAGCCATTTTGATTAGTGACTGCAGCTAAAAAGCCAAGCTAGGCACAGGAGTGCAGACGTGTATTACCTTCTGTTGATACTGCTTCAGGAACACGAAGCTTCTGACAGAGCGCAGAAAGTTTTATATCATTGCAGCAGGATCTATCTGACCCTCCCATTATCAGATCCCTAAGGGATTTGACACCAAGCTCCTAAGACGTATTTCAGATCCTTCAAGAAAGTTAATCTTCTTTTTAAGTTATGCTTCTCTATGAGGAAAAATTTAAAAAGAAAAAGGTGCACACAGTCATGGTTAACTATCATTTAATGCCCACTTGAAAGGCTGTCAAATAGCTGAAAACTGATTATAATACAGTGAAGAGAACAGATCTAACACATTTGAAATATTAGTATTAAACCTATCCCTGAAAGGGACAATCCCTCTTCTTTACACCTGGATGCAGATGACCACGCACAACCTCCCATTCCTGGGCCAGATCTACACGACTGACTTACCCTGGAACTGCACAGCTAAGTGACCCAATGGAAGACTACTATTTTTTCACGCAGGGGTAGTTTTCCACCATATCAGACAGGTAAACTTACTTCTCAACCCACCTAACTGTGGCTGCACAGCTGCAAGAACTCACAGAGGGGAAGTAGCAGAGAGGTGTGTCCAGGAATCAGAAGGGAGAAACAAGTCATAAAATCCACTTAGCTGCAATGTGCGACTATGCTCTCTGGCTGCAGCTTCACATAGACTTTAAGCTATCTGCTTTCTGCTATAAACAGCACTACAGTTAAAAGAAGTAGTCCTACTTATTCCCTGTTGTTTAATTCAAGCCCTTTCCTTCACATCCCTCCTATCCAACACAAACATTTACGTTGCCATACCATTAAACCGCATCAGGGCTCAAGACATCTAAAAAAAATAGTTGGGGGGGGGGGGGGAATTATCTAAAGCAGCTTCACAAATACATATCAAGTAATAAAAGAGCAGGACTGAGCAGGCAGAGGGAAAAAAAAAGTAAAAGACTACATATTTGTACAACAGGATTTTCCTTTAACAGCTACAACATAAATGAAACTCCAGACTAAGTAACAGAAAAAATGGCTCCTGATAACACCTTTGGTGATGTGCTTTCCCATGTGCTCAAAAAGAGATCAAGTTCATAAATGCTAAAGCAACAGACTTGACCACCTTCCTGCATCAGTCCTGAAACATGACTGAGGCTACTAAATGCTCAGTGCTGAAATAATTACCTTGGTAAATAAATACTTACTCTCGCTTTGTGAGCTCTTAGACAAGAATTAGAAATAAGTTCTAACAAAGTAAATTTTTAAAGGTATCTTACGTCAGCCACAATAGATTAATTGTTTTGGTCCAGTTTCGCTTTGTACTTCCACTCAAACAAGCTCTGCGAAATGCCTCCCTGGCTAGGAAGACAACTGTTGAATACAGTAGAGTTAGCCTAAAGTGGGGGGGAGGGGAGAAAAAAAAAAGGGGGGGAGAGAAAATTATTTCATTACATACTACTTCTGAAATCCTTCATGCAGTACCATCACTGACAGTTTTCACACAGGACTGCCTGACAGAGAAGTCTAACAGGTATGTGAAGAAAACGTGGTGATAGGAGACAAATTATCACCATCTCCTAAAAAAGTAGGGAATTACATGTGATTTCTCAAACGGCAAAAATACTTTAAGCATGCTATAAACCAAAAACGCAGTTACAAAATTTATTGTATAGCAACAGCATGTAATATGCAATTGCGTCTAGCTTTTCCTCAGCAAACTGATGGTTTAACATCAAAAACAGGCCAGCAGCACCTCTGCTTCAAGCCAAAAAAGAAACTCCGAGACATTCAACGATCAAACGCTATAAAACGACAGTAAGTTAAACAGCGTCATACAAAGCGCTGCTAGCGACACACCCTACAGACCATAAACCCCGAGATCCTGCACCACACACAAGCCCTTCCAAAAAGCCCCCCCCAGGCCGGGAGCGCTGCTCCGAGGGGCGCCTGGCCGTGTCAGGCGAGCACCGCGGGCGGGACGCGGGCCTGCAGCCCGGGTGCGCCTCAGCCTCCGCCTCACCTCACGTTGACCACGCCGATCAGCTCTCGGGAGAGGTAGCGCAGAGTGAACGCGTTCAGCCCGAAGGTGACCACCCGGAACAGCACCTGTGAAGGAAGCCGCACGGGAAACACCTGCGGGCCGAGCGGGGCTGAGGCGGCTCCCGCCAGACACCGCGGCGGCGGCGGAGGAGGAGGAGGAGGGGGGAGGCGGCCCGGGGCGGCCCCGCACCTGCAGCAAGGCGCTGGAGGAGGCCAGGCGGGTGGCCTGGCTGAGCACGTCCTGCGAGGCCATCAGCTCCCCGCCCCGCCCCGCCGGCAGGAAATGGCGCCGTCGCGCCGCGATCCCGTCAGCGCGGCCGGCACCGCCCCGGCCTCCGGGCGCGACAGCCGCCGGGGTCCCTCGGATTCGGCTCACCCCGCTGTTCTTAACGGAACGGGACAGACGCGTCCTCCTTAGTTATGCTTTGGACATAAATGGTTAACTTCCAAAATAACTGGGCACTCCAGGCTGCTCGGATGCTAAAACTAACGTTCAGCGCCAGCTCCCTCTGCTTCGCTAAAACAGCCCCCCAAAACTGCACACTGGCTTATGAGAAGAGAGATCATAAACAGCGTTTTCTGACGAGATCTCTGAAAAATCGCCATCCGAGTTTCACCAGTGCCTTTCTAAACTGAGGGCAAACCCACCAGTCTTCCCAGACTTGAGAAAGACAGGCAAGATGTGCTGAAACACCCTGGCTTCAGGAAGAAGAAAGCATCTTTCTTCATTCTGTGTTAAAAAAACAAACAAACAAACAAACAAACAAACCCACCCAAAAAACACACACACACAAAAAACACACACACACAAAAACCACCTTCAAATAGCAAAGATGCAATTTAATTGTAACAGACTTGAATTTAATAATACACTGACTTGAAGTCTTCCAAAGAGGTAAGACTTTAGACTCAGTGTAACTCAGCACAGTAGTTCCAGATTATTTCACATTATTATTTAAGCAGCAATATATAAAAAGATTGTATCTTTCTATGTTACAGAACATTCCCTTCAAAACCATGGCACTTCTGGCTCAGAAGTCCCACTTTTCTTAGCCATGCTACAGTTGAACTAAAACTTTTCATGTCAAAAAGCAGCAGTGAGGAAGCGTCGCAGGGCAGGGAGGGGCGGGGGGGGGGGGGGGGGGGGGGGCAGTATCCGAGCCCTACTTGATTTCAGCTTCTTCATGACAGAATATGAACAGCAACAGTTAAATCAGGATCTTAAAGAGAAGCTAGATAACCAACCAAAATTCTTCAAACTCATGCAAAGAAGCCATCTCTCCATCAATTTTGTCTTCTGCATGAAACCCCCTCCTCCTCTGAAGCATTACACCCACCACTTCGTTCTTTGTATGTTCAGAGTAAAGTTTTTCAGATTTTTTCCTTTGGCCATTTTACCTGATAGCATGCTTTAAGGAATCTGGAAGTGATGTATAGATGTGGATGTACGTGGCAGAGGAGTATATCCTATGAATTCTTTTAAGTGTGATACTAATATTGGGAACACTTAACTTGTAGAAACGTCACAAAGAGAGATTATTATCCCATTGTAAAGATGGTGAGATGGGGACAGAGAGAAGAAACTAATCTGTGTTGGGTAATTGCAGAGACAGGAAGAGATGTCAGAAATTTTGGGTTACAGGAGGGTGTTAGAGCTAGAGGGGAGGAAACATTGCTGCCTCCCCTCTCCTTTAGGCAGTTTTCCAGTTCTCAAGTGGAAAAGGCAATTAAAATTGTTGTCCTAACTCAATCTCTGGGCTTTTCTTCGTGGCAGTAATGGTGACAGCAATGGTGACAGCGGAAATCAAGAGCATGTTATGGCTTGTGCTGATGTCAATGGGAGTGGTTGAACTGTGCGCATTTAAACCCATCACGAATTACCAGATACGCTGCATAGGGAAACAAAAAGTTGAGGAGCATAAAGCACGCAGTGTCTACCAACACTGCAGTAAGGATTCATGTTATTCTCTCTCTATATATATACAAACATCTTCGTGACAAAAGTCGGGAACTTCAAGGAATAAACCAAGAGAAATTAGCATGCTAATTGGAGGCAATAGTCTGACCTTTTCAGGCATCTGCCATGGGCAACAGTAAGTGACAACTAGTGATGTTTTGTTGGACAGTTTGGCTTGTCACCTCAAAGCTGAAACAGAAACAGCTGCAAAGCACGGGGAGGTGGAAGAAGAAAAGAAACAACTCTAACTTCAACTGTTTTTGATAGGAACCAGCTTTGCCACTTAATACCCTTTTGGCATTAATACATCTAAGCCACTAGATGGCAAACGGCCTTTGAGGCAGCCAGCAGCAAGACACCCTGGTCAATCCCCAAAGCACATGCTTGAGGTTAGACTGAAAGTCGGTATTTTTACTCCAGTAGCATCTTTCAGATTCTACTGCATGTTATGTCTGAACAATAGTTAGAATAGGCCAACTCATAATAGTAATGTGGCATGACACAGGTCAAAACCAGAGTAAGAGCAGAATTTCAAAGTTACAAATTGACTTATCAGCTAACTTGATTTTATTCAAAACTGCATGTGAGCAGGCTTAACAACTGACTTGACAGAAAATGCTTATTTTTAGTAACATAATTTGACAATAGGTATAACGTAAAGGAGGACCAAGTTACTGAACTGGCATACAGTGTCAAGAAAGCTTCACAAGAATATGCAGTCAAAACAATTGCTCTCCAACTCCCACAGCAGGCAATGCCCACTTAGAGCGTTCCTGCGTCCTCTCACCACAACATATACCCCTTTTGGTTGTCTTGAGCCAAGTGTTTGTGGCAGCATGGGGCTCAGTAGCTGTGTTCCGCTTGAGATAACCGTATTTCATTACTGCATCAATAAGGTATTTCAAGATGAAAGGTAGGCTTTGACTTCAAATTACAACCTTTATATAAGTTGAAAATTTAAAACCTGTTAAGAGCAGTTAGACACCTTCCATAATACCACTTCCTCAGAAGGGAAATAATCTTCATCTAAAATATTATAAGCTAGTTTCCTTCAGGATAAAAATTCCCAAATTAATGACGAAGTGAGACTGGGAAGCAGGAATCGATTAAATCAGCAGTGAGACCTTGAAACAAGCCTGAACAGTTGCAACTTCTCATCTGTTCTAAAACAAAGATCTCATTGCAGAACCAAAACCAATTTCAGTGTAAAGGATCAACAGCAAATTTGCATTTTATTAACCCAAATAAATACTGCACTTTATAGTTAGTAATACATTTTAACATCTTAATTTTATTGCACGCTTCCTTTCCCTTAAAGGTCCCTTGAGGAATCAAGTTAGAAAACCAACTGTGCTATGAAATCATAGGCAAAGTTCTCTGTTGCTGCCTGATACCTCCTAGAATAGTGCATGATATAACACAAAATGACAGACTAGGCTGTGAGCTAAAGACTGTAGCTTTCTGCAGCTGCTGAAAAAGCTTTTAGCTTTGCAGTCAGGACCAATTTTAAAAACAAGCAAAAGAAATACTCAAAAACCCTGCTGCTGGCTGAGCAGCCTTCCCCCTCAATGGCATCCTCTCCAGTTGATTCAGTGCACAGAGACCAAGCAGGAGCCCTGACGCCCATAGGGAGCAGCCAAATGCTGCTGCTGCTCATGTGCCCAGCCCTGCCCTGTACCTCCACAGCTGGAAGGAGAGGCTCTGAGGGGAGCAAACCATCCCAACAGCATGTACTGCATTAAAAGATGGATACGCACGCCTCTTCCCATCCCTCTGGCCTGCAGCATGATTCTGTCTCATAGCTGGATATGTGGATTCTAGTAAAGGAGACGAGCAGGTACAGAACTGGAGCTGTACAGTACTGGCTCTGCAGAGCTCAATTATCACAATACCCCACACTTTGTAGGGAGCATGACGCTTAACAGAACTGCTCTGCTTCTGCTACAAGTCCACACTTTGCCATTTTGTGAACGAGGACAAAATACTTCATTCCTGGGGTGGCAAAAGATTGTTTGCTCGATACTGCTCAGAAGCCTTGTGCCAGCACAGGACAAATTACGTTAAGTCTGATTTTATTTTTCTTTGTTTCTTTTTTAAAAATAATGCATAGAAGAGATCTGTCTCTTTGTTCCTGATCATACAAAGCTTGTTCCTTTACTGAAATAACTAGGAGGTTGGGGTCAAAAGCAAGGAGTCACATGGAGACTTACCAGACTAGACACTAAATCTCATTAAGCTTTTTTCCCTCCTGCGAGCAGCCCTCTCCAATCAGGGATGTATCTGGGCCCGAGGATGTAACATTTCCAATTCAGTGCAGAACTGCAGGAAGCAAAAGAAGAGATTCACAGGCCACTCACCAGCAAAGGACCTGCTAGGAGTTACTGCTGTGCCAGTTTCTCTCCCCTCCAACCAAAGTGTCCCCAGAGGGCTTTTTAGATTAGTTTCCCCAGGCCTTGTGGACTGAGTTAATCTCTGTGCATGTTAAATGGTTAAAGAAAAACCTGCAAATTTTTTTTCCTGGCTGCATTATTAGTTCACCAAGGATTTAATTTACACCCTTTCTTTGGGATGGAAGAATAAAGGGGCTTTCTGAAGAACGCAGAGGAGTGCTTTTTTCCCTGTGATACGCTACATTTGGAAAATGCACTTTCTCAGCTTTTCAGAGTAGCCTTTGACTTTTTGCCTCACATGTTTTCACAGTGCATTGGCCTTTAATGCACCACTTATATGCAATTTGATCAACTGGTTTCACTGCCTTTCAATTTCAGTTTTAAATTCAACTTTTATTTACTGAAAGATTTTATGTATTAAGTATATGGAAGACTGACATTCCTTATACGTGAAATGTAATGTAAACCAATGTTCAACTCAAAGGAAAAGCAAAAAAATGCAGTAAATGTACAAGTCAAATAGTAACATATTAAGGATGGGATAGTGCTAAGTTTTCAAAAACGGTGTCAAATGATTACACTGCATACTTTACAGTAAATAGGCAGATTTTAAGAAATAGCATATATTGATTAGAAGAGCAAAAATGAACGTTCTGCACAATGCTGTCTACTTCCAATAAGCTTTACACTTGTTCTCTTTGCAATTTAAAAATCTAACATTCAACAGACATTCTAAAGTCTACAAAAACCCTCAAAGTTCTTTCATCTGGGGGAAGTAATAAATTACAGTAGTTTTATCACTGGAACTGGCAAGCTCCTTGCTTAAAATTCTTGCAAAATTTGTACATTCCTTAAACACGTACATAATCAATTCTGCACAATCTTTACTGTCCTGTGTGTTCTAAA